TTAAAAACCGCAAGTCCAATTGCTTTGATTTTACATATATAGGTACTACATGTGGACTTCTCTCAGATTTTTTAATTTCGTTGTGAAATCTTCAATTATTTAATTTTGATGATTATTTTTGTCATTTTGGGTAAAAAGTGATATTTTCGACTTCTTGTTGAAAACCGCAAGTTCGATTGCTTTTTTTAATACATGTATAGGTACTACATATGGACTTCTTTCAGATTTGTCCCGTTGCTTTTTATATATATATTGTTAATTTTCTAATGATATCTTCAGTTTATTAATTGTAATGTGCCTTGCTAACAGCGGAGCTATCTCAACCGAGAGGCTGCTTGTTAAATATATCATGTTCACTTTTTTTTTTTTTGCTTTTTATGTCAACACCAGCATAAAGCAACACAAAAAGCAGCTGTATAAACATTCTATAATTATGTGTTTCACTCTTCTGGTTATGTAACCACACAAAACTATTAAAAATGATTGATTTTTGCTGCTAGGAATTCTTGTGATTAATTGATTTTTATGGCACTTGTGAAGACGAAATTTTGTGACAGTTGCTGACATTCTGTGTTGTACAACCCCGGAGAAAATTTCGCAGTTTTCACTGACATGGGGAAAATGCATGAAATTAAAGTGTAGAATTTTCTTTTCAGTTGTCAGCTGACATTGAAACTTTAAAAGTAACAAATAATGATCTAAGAGGAAATGGTGAAAGTTTGTGGTCAACGCTCAGTAAACTTGGAGGGAAGGTTGGTAAAATAACTGTTATGTCATTCGTACACACACAAAGGTTGATTTTCTACATGTAAGAACAGCCTCTATAATTGTGGAGACTTTGTAAAGCATGGAGGGAAGGCAGTTAAATGAACAGCCTCTATAATAATACACTCAGTAGGCTAGGAGGGGGAATGAATGGCGAACACGGCACCTTGACTTGTTTTTTTCACTGCATGCATGTCTAGAATGGATTTTCAAACTGCCATGTGCAATTGTTCAGTATGTGTGGATTGGGTCATGACCAGTTTGCGTCTGTCTTTGCAAATGCTTATTGAGAAATACATTGTATATTTCGACATTTTTTGTAGTCTTTTTACATACAATCATTATGGTTAAAATGAATTCATCGATATTAATGTACTGTACTATCCTTAAATATAACACAATTGACGCGAATTCATTTTACTTTCAGAAACTACCTCTACCATCTGTTCTTAGATCACCTCACAATCCTAAAGTTTCACCAACCATGAAAGAAACTTCCAAGTCTTCTACAATGACTGTTATAAACCTGTTAGTAGATTTTCTCTGATTTGCTGTGTATTCTTATTCCCTGTTCATCCATTCATGCTATGTATCATTTTGCTTTGTTCTCATATTGGATTTGTAAATTTCAATTTAAGATGATTGAATGGCAAGAATTTTATAAAGTGAGCTGAAATCAAACATTGGATCTTGACCATGGAGAGATTAGAACATCATTTGACCCTGATTACATCATTTTGTTTTACTTCACAAATTCAAAATGTCCGACTGGCTGCCATTATTTTCAAGAAAGCAGTTCAGTCACTAGTTACTAAAATCACTTCTGCCTAGGAGAATTTCCAGAGTCTCATCATCATTTTGGGCAATAAAGACAGTTTCAGATATTGTTTTTAGTTTTTGATCATTTTTCAGTTTATCGATTTTTATCAATATTTCATGTGGAGATGAACAGAATGTACAAAATCATTTTCTAAATGGTGCCAACAATTCACAATGGCGCTCAAAGTTTTAAACAAATTAATTCAGAATAATTCAAATTAATTTAGCATCAATGTATCAGTGTTTCCCTAACGCAAATTTGCCACTGAGAAATGTTTGGGTTTCATCTCAAAAAACATCTTCAATATGATTTGAAAACAAAGTGCATATAATTAAAAGAATTATTTCTCATATTGCCAAATTTCACTGAGAAACTTTGGCAACTCACTGAGAAAATTTCGCCTATGGTTAAGGCTTAGGGAGAAACACTGGTCTGTATGTGTGTGGTAAAAGCAAAGATGACACTAAGTTCCCTGTTGTCAGCAAATACAACTGTTGAAACCCTGAACACCTGAGCTTTACACACCAATACATTACTATTATGTGTTGAAAATACATTGCATGTTACAATTAAATAGTTGGTTAATCTGTTCTAGTTGTCTATATAGAATGTTAATATCTATGTGCCCTTAAAATTTCATTCTGAAATCATCATCTGTAAAGTTTCACTGGGTGTGGGGTTGGGCTGGGCTGGTTGTCCAGAGACAAATATGTGT